TGTTTCTGAGAGGCAGTCGTCAATTTACAACATTCTGTGATCGAAAAAGTTGAGGCTATGCTTCTTAGTAAACTATGTATGGTTAGCGCGGCATGAACGCCAGCTCGCACGCGTTTTACAGAAGCCTTTTCCTTCGACCCCTTACAGAGCACGCATGAGCTAACAGCCCTTGTTACTTGTAATTAATCAGTATCTCCGACTTTTCAGGATACTCTGATACAGAACATTCATCGTGATGTTGATATTCTCAGTCCTGGAGCAACAAATTGTCTGTATGAGGTGTGCTGATTTCCCGCGTGATCATGCGTTGTGTGGTGTAGCTACTGAGGAGATGAGATGCGCAGATGTGCCTGTGCTGTCGTTCCTTGATTTGCATGTTCCTAGGAAGAGATAGAATGGACCCCATTGCGTCAAGTATATACTCCTCATCATGATAACAGGTCACTCTACATCCATATTTGGTGTGGGTCCATGCCAAGACAGACATGGCAGTGATATAATACATATGTCACTGTGACTGATTACTTTTTATGTGGCCAGAAGCAGCTGCTGCTGTAAGGGACACACTGCCTGTAGGTGTTGCTGACGTCTGTTTTCACCCCACTGTTCTGCAAACAGGCGATGGCCGAGACAATTATCACTGCAATTTCTTTCTTTGTTGCGTTTTCGCACAACATTTGACCTGTTGCCAGCTGGTTGCTTTACGACACATAATGTAGTCTGTCCCAGCAAATGTAATGGACATAGCTACTTGATGAGGTTCTTGTAACCCACCAAATACGGTGTTTACGTGCCATGACTATGGTGTGTAGCTGATGTGCTGTTTGCATCCCACAACACAGGTGTGTAGTTGTCCCAGCATGTGTTGCATCGTACCTACCTACATAGTGTGTACTTTCTACTACCCGCTAGATAGCGGGTTTACTTGCATACAATGTAGTGTACGGCTGATGTGCTGTTTTCGCCCCACACAAGGTGTGTAGTTGTCCCAGCATATGCCACATGTGTGTGCATGCACCTACCTAAAAGTGTGTACTTTCTACTCAGCTAGATGGCGGGTTTACTTGACATGACATCATCGCGTGTGTAGAGCGGATGTGCTGTTTCGCGCCCACAACAAGGTGTGTAGTTGTCCCAGCATATGACACATGTGTGCAATCACCTACCTAAATAAGTGTGTACTTCTACTGATCCACCGATGAGCGGGTGTTACTGACATACATATGTGTGTAGGCTGATGTGCTGTTTTAGTATAGCCTGCGGTCGATTATTCCAGAATAATTTCGGGAATAATAGGGTCCCTCTGGAATAAGAATAATTCCAAGATAATAGGTTGAAAATTTCCAAGCGAGCGACGACGCCGCAACGGCGCCAACTGCGCGGAAGCGAAGCGAGCAGTGGACGCGCGTCACGCGCACGAGGGTCAACGGAACGGACTCCGACTTATCGGACAGGAATCAGGGATAAACACCACGTGGATAAATGCGTCGACTTCCCATGCCGTCAGATCCAGCTCTGTATAGTACTGTTTTCTTCATTGTTTCAGCAGATAATAGGTAATTTCTGTGAATAATGGTGTAAACTTTAAAGAATAATAGGCATATGGAGTAGGAAATTCAGAATAGAATATATATCCGGACAAATTGTGGGAATAATAGTCTCAGGCCTAGCTGTTTGGCCTCACAACAAAGGTGTGTAGTTGTCCCAGCATGTGTTGCATGCACCTGTACCTAAATAGTGTGTACTTTCTACTCATCTAGATGGCGGTTTACTTGACATACTATGGTAGATGTAGCGTGATGTGCTGTTTCGCCCACAACAAAGGTGTGGTAGTTGTCCAGCATATGACACACATGTGTTGCATGCACACTACCATAATAGAGTGTACTTTCATACTCATCAAAGATGCAGGGATAATTACTTGACATACTATGCGTGTGTAGCGCGGATAGTGCTGTTTTCGCCCACAACAAAGGTGTGTAGTTGTCCCAGCATATGACACATGTGTTGCATGTACCTACCTAAATAGTGTGTACTTTCTACTCATCTAGATGGCGGGTTTTACTTGACATACTATGGTGTGTAGGCGGATGTGCTGTTTCGCCCCACAACAAAGGTGTGTAGTTGTCCCAGCATATGACACATGTGTTGCATGCACCTACCTAAATAGAGTGTACTTTCTTCTCCTCCAGATTGCAAGTTTACTTGATATACTATGGTGTGTAGGCGGATGTGCTGTTTCGCCCCACAACAAAGGTGTGTAGTTGTCCCAGCATATGACACATGTGTTGCATGTACCTACCTAAATAGTGTGTACTTTCTACTCATCTAGATGGCGGGTTTACTTGACATACTATGGTGTGTAGGCGGATGTGCTGTTTCGCCCCACAACAAAGGTGTGTAGTTGTCCCAGCATATGACACATGTGTTGCATGCACCTACCTAAATAGAGTGTACTTTCTTCTCCTCCAGATTGCAAGTTTACTTGATATACTATGGTGTGTAGGCTGAGGTGCTCTTTTGCCCCACAACAAAGGTGTGTAGTTGTCCCAGCATATGACACATGTGTTGCATGCACTTACCTAAATAGTTTGGTGTACTTTCTACTCCTCCAGATTGCAAGTTTACTTGATATACTATGGTGTGTAGGCTGAGGTGCTCTTTTGCCCCAAAAGAAAGGTGTGTAGTTGTCCCAGCATATGACACATGCACCTACCTAAATAGTGTGTATTTATACTCATCTGTTAATGACGATGATAGTAGTTTTACAAGCAAACTGTATTTTGCTCAAAACAACAATTCATTTTCATGTATATAACATACTCAAAAAGCAAACATGTGACATCAGTCTCTATGAAACTACAGATTTAATGAAGCATTATTCTCTACCTCACATTCTTTCTACATATATATGAGTGTTCTGAGAGCCTTTTTTTGCAAATACTCTGAGAGAATGTCTAGTACCAGCCAGTCCTTGCCACTCAGGTTTCCTAAGGGAAGAGACATAGTTAAACAAGTGGAAAAATCATTTATTCAAAGGGGATATAGGGATGGCTTGAAGCACCAAAAAGGAAGAAACAAGGGGTCATTACACACCAAATATGCACAAAGCCACATGACACCATCCCTATATCTTTGTCTCATATTAAACTTTGCTTATGAACAATAAAACAAAGTTGTAGTCTGAAGCCTTACAACATCAAAGGAAAAAGTATTACTACAAATCCGGTATACTGCGCTGTTGCAAGCTATCAGTTATGATAACCAGACAATTAGTGGTTAGGTGGGGTGACCACACACTTAGGGAAAATATAGAACAGTTGGGAACAAGTTTTAGGGAAAATATAGAACAGTTAGGGAAAATACTCATAATGGCCAAAGTAAATTCAAATGCTGCTATATATATATTGTCTCAGTTCACAGAAATGCACAAATGTAGTTAAAGGTCTTGTGTCTTCTTTTAACTTTGATAAAAGTAGAATGTGCAAGAAGGGGAATCGGCTAGTAGAAGTTGTTGCCGCCGTTGATGCCACCGTTGGTCTTGACTGTGCGGTTTTTTCGACAAAGATAGAGATAGCTTCTTCTTCTTCTGCAGGTGGTGACGAGCCATCGTCCACATCTGAAAACCAGCTGTCAGGCACGAAATACGGGTCGAGCGAAACACTCGCGGCCTCTTCCATTTCGTTGCGATGCCTGATCTGACTACAAACCAGTTAAAGTACTGCCTTCGCTCGTACTCTCTGGAAATTATTGGGCTTGGGGGAAAGTTCGAGAAGGTCATGTAGCACGAGCGCGCACGCCCAATCATTTCCAGAGAGTACTCCCGCCGGTACTTTAACTAGTACATATAGGGATGGTGTCATGTGGCTTTGTGCATATTTAGTGTGTAATGACCCCTTGTTTCTTACTTTTTAGTGCTTCACGCCATACCTATTTTTGAAGAAACGATTTTTCCACTTGTTTCCACAATTTTTAATGGCTTATGACAACACTGCATTTTCAGTCAGTGATGTTCATGGGTATGTTGTTAAGATAACTGTTGAAAGCAGAAGCTAATGGACTTCTCTTACTTGAAGCAGGGTGTAATGCGTAGTGTCTCCAACATGGACCGATTAGGTTGTGGCACATATGGTGGTGGTTTCATTGGGCAGGCTTCAGAAATCAGACTATAATGATAACTATAACCTGGGGGACAAAGTAAGAAGGCGCCTGGCAAGGCACGTGTAACAAGGCGCAGATTGCCAAGTTGCTCCTCGTGCAAATCAACAGCAAAAAGCAAGCTAGCCACGTGTACACAGAACTTACAGAAGGCACTGGAGGCTGAGAGTAATTTTCTCTGCAGGCATCCAGTCCTGGGCTTCGTCTCGTTCGTGGACCAGGTTTACGAGACAAAATGCGCGCGCACCTCATTGGAAACGCCCTCATCAGCGCGTGCGGCTCACTGATGCTGAGTTAGCAGCAAATGGCGCTTAATATGCGTGCACACCTCCGGCAAATTCGAAGACGTTCTGTGAAAAAATCAACGCTTCAAGTGCTTCCGGTAAGGAGCTAGCGGGTCTGAAGAAGAAGAAGAAGAATGAAGAATAATTGGCGAGCGGGAGCAAGCTAACCTAGTGGTCCAAACGGCGCGATTTTT